TATCTGTCCAATAGATAGCCAATAAAAATAGGAAATCTAGATAACAAATTAGAGCAGCCAGTAAAAAATTAAAATCCGTTTACAAGAGTGTTTAACAACGAAGGACTATTGAGCAAATACTCTATTTAAATTGAAGGCCCATCTAATCTGTTCTACCATTGTAGTACATAGTATGTTCTCCTATAACAACTATACTTCCTGGGGAATCCTTACCATTCGTCCTTGAACGAACTACTCTTCTCGTCCCAAGTCCTGGAGTCAACGAAGGCCTAATCCTTCCCGTGATCCGCGAGCATCCGTTACCACAATCCACTTGTAGACCCTTCTCAGTAATAACTTTTTGACCAGAAGCATGACTTTTTCTCAAAACGACAGACGGTCCACGTATACCGAATATCTGAGTCGATTGAGGCTGCTTTGTCTGGATCAGTCTTTGAGAGGTGGCACGAAGATGTTGTGCTTCGTTTTGCTTCGTTCGTTTGTTTTGTGGCGGGTCTCGACAGCCTCCCTCCAGATGATACACATGTTGACTCTTAGCATTCTGAAGTTGCACCACATTCAAATTGGCTTCTGGTGGATCTTCCAGCGTGTGTTGCATAGACGTGCATACATATACGAAACCCCCTTAATCCGTTTTAAGAGGAAAATAACAAAGTATATGGGACGAATGCATCTAGCGATAGATGCGCGGCAGGGAAGAGTAGCATAATCTAGAGGAATAAGCGCTAACGATTAACATACAAACTATTGGCCAAAAGATGGCTTAAAAACAGCGAATCAAAGAAACGGAGCAATGATAGGGCAGAGTCGCCGTCAATGAGCAGACGATTGTTATTGGATAAGAATGACCTCGAATCATTGTTGCGTAGGCGGGGTAGTCCAATCGATACATTTCCAGTCAACGCACATACCACCCGGTACGTTAACTACAGCAGAATTTTACCAATGACCGTCCTAAGTTATGCTAGTTGTGAGAAATTTGCTGGAGATCAAGTTTAACATTAAATTTAGAGCGGTAGTCACTTAAACATTTCAGATAGTACTAATTTAATTAAATAATTGGGTTTCGTAGCTATCGTTGAAGCATTTAGAGCGTTCAAGCTGATGGAAGGCTTAATAATTGACTTTCCCATTATGAAATGAGTAGTGTTTCGAAATGATAAGAGACTGATAATTTAATAAAATTCGAACTCTATATGGTAATATAATCTATTGTAATGGCAATTAAAAGTTTAGTGAGTAGACAATAATCCAAGCATTAAATTTGATATAGGCCTGATTTGCCCCTCAAATCACAGTTGCCCTGTTAATGACTGGAATCATAGTTGTGTGGTTGCAATCCAGACTGGATGAGAGGAATCCTTTGGAGAAGTAATGCTAAAAGTTTCACTCATGTCGTAAGGCCTACAACTTATTTCACAGCAAAAGCCTTATATATAAGACCACAAATCCTATAGCGAAATGAGGTCACTCCAGTCCTTATAAATAATTTAATGAGGTTCTATGGTATAGTCTAGTACTATATCAATAATAAGTGATTTATCAAAATTTTTTACAATAATACATTAGCTGATGGGCAAGAAAACTAGGCATCTTGCTTATCATGATAAATCGCGTTGCTAGTAAAATGGGCCAAAATTTTCGCATCCCTTGGCCTTAATACAGAGAAAAGATAGTGGAAGATACTAACGAATTGCCAAGGCATATCAATTGCAGAGGACACAAGACTAGGTACTTTCCATGATGTCTTCCAAAAAGCTCTGACTAAATTGCGAAAGCAAGGTCGAACCAACCCTATTAGCTAAGGGAGACTGCGACCAAACATAAGGCTACACCATATTGGTCTTCAAATACAAGACCCAAACTACCAGCATTCTGAATAGGAAGAACAAGTGTAGCAAGTCGAGTCTGAACTATTTGTGATCCGTAGGTAGACTTATGGCAGGAGAGGGAGAGAAGGCTTGATTAGCATTGAATCTGCTTACGTCTTTCGAGCCTTATATGACATGTGATCTTTGAATAGAAAACAATAAAGACGCAATCACACACCTAAATATGCCTTAAATACTGTAGGACCAAACTCTAGTGTTCATATATAGAAGTAGCCATGACCACACCTACATCCTACCCTTGCATCAATTTCACACGTCAGCAAGCATTTTGAAAAAAAGTATGAAGAGGCAGGCCGAATCATGAGATTACGCATTGGGATTGCAAGATTTACTATTATAAAAGGTTCATGATTTCAGCCTGCTACATTTCTGGTTTAATGTTATGGTGCCTATTTCATCTGATGGTTTCTGAATCTGACGACCGAAGAAAGGCCAGCAGAGATTCGCCGGGGTCGCATGACGATTATCAGAGAACTTCTACACTCAAATCACTTTACAATTTCTGAAAAGCCTCCTTGGGTAACTTTATCAAATCTTTGTCACTTCGATAGGTTGTAACTCTGTACTGACGATGGCCCCCCTTAGTGACGAGGCCTGCGAAAGGTATGGCAATGTACCAAGTCAAAATGTCTGATGCTGGAAATCTCAAGTACTATGGAAGAGGACAAGGTCTCTCTGTAGTTCCGATCTAGTTGTGAAAACGAGGTCGAACCAACACTACAAAGTTGAAATAGACTACGACCAAACGGAAGGCCATAATACCTTAGCTTTCATATCTACGATCTAATAAGGGTGGTAAGAATGTCAGTCAATTTACTGATTACGGCAGATTAAAGAATACTATCGTAAGTCAATCTTGTGATTTGATTTTTCCCAACTGTTGTAATTGTTATGGCCTCCCTCCTAGTTTTTACAATTTCATGAAAAAACTATTCTGAGAAGGTCAATGATATATTGCATAAAGCTTCGTTGAAAAAATTAGAGGATACAAATGACAGAGAGGAGCAAATCTAGACTCAGGCACGATTTGAGTAGGATTCCCAACCCGGAGGATTTCATGAAACTTCAGATGATAACAGACAAAATGTCGAAAATGATATAGGACTTCATAAACAAAGCACTAGAAGCTGAATAGAAATGAGATCTACAGACAGCCCAAGGTCCAGCCACCCGGCAAAAATGAAGATGTCTCTACAATGACGGATTTCACAGCCCAGACAAGAGATCAAGGTAAAATAGTGAATCTGTCTTCCGTCTCAACTGACCTGGAAACCATAGAACTCATCAAGAAGAGACTAAATTTTTCACTTCGGAATCAAAGGAAGGCAACCAAGGACATTTTAGTGGAAGTGATAAATACCTCTGCGAAGCTACCTGAAGAATGAAAAGAAGAGCTGATAAATAGAAATCATCCCAACAATCTTGGTGCATCAAGAACCTAAGGATAGGGACAATATATCCAAGATATATAGAGAATTAAGAAAAAACGATCAAATAGTCCTACACGCTGACAAAGGAGATGCAACAGTGGTGATGCACAGAGAAAATTGAAAATAATATTGGGGATACCACGACTTATCTACTGCTATCAAAAGACCCAACAGTTAAAATTAAAGGGGCAATGCAAGAAATGCTGAAGGAAATAAATATGAACGGAGAAATCGAACAATGGACTATAAATTCACTCATTCAAAGGGATACAAGAGCCCCAGTAGCATACGGTTCGCCGAAGGTACACTAAGAAGATGAACCATTGAAACTCATAGTCAACAACAAACACGGATTAACAGATAAACTGACGAAATTTATCTGTCTCAAATTAAACAAAGTGAATTACAGATAATCGAATACCGTAAAGAACTCACACAAATTTTGACAAAGAATCAAAGGTATTTGTTTAGATAGAGACGAACATTTAGTGAGCTTTACTTCACACTAGCATCGCATGATAAAAAGCACTCACGGCACTACTGGAGATCCTGGAAAGAGAAGAAGACCTGTAGGCGGAGAGAATCCAAAAAGAATCTCTAATCCGATTAATCAACCTAACAACAAGAACCACATTGTTCACGTTCAACAGCCGCATCGATGAGCAAATATTCTGTCTGCCAATAGGCTCATCACTCTTACTTCTGTTGGCTAATGTCTACATGGACAAATTAGAGAAGAATTTCAAAATGTCAGTTCCGCAGCCAACACTAATTATGCGATATTTAGATAACTACTCCGCAATCTGGTCGCACGCAAAAGAAAAATAAGACGATTTCCTAATCTTTATAAATGGAATGGATAAAAAAGTCAAATTTACCATGGAGGTGAAAGAGAGCGGGCACTTACCTTTCTTGAGTGCGGAGATCATTCGCTCCGAGGAAACTTTCAAGAAACAACTTTCCGAAAGAAATCGCTAACTGGAATAAATTCCAAATTCCAGTCTAGCCATACCTATGTAATGAATTTTGGAATACTCTGGATTAAGTTTAAAAGAAGCCTACGACTTATTGACTATGGCTTCTGGTAAGATGTTATTGTAGACGGATATCCAGAAGAAATAATAGAACGCAACATATGGATGGTGATGAATAGATAGAAAGACGGAGATTATGAGAGGAAGGCAAGAGGAGCAGAGAAGAAACGATGGATTTGTCTACCCTCCTGCGAATTGGATCGGAAGCTATGGCCAATACTAGGGAAATGGAACGTCTGTACAATCTTGAATAATAGGACAATCCCCTTCACCAGCTTGCTACTAAACATG